CACCTGGCGATTTATCCGCGCTCTGTACTCTTGTCTCAGCTTCTCGGCTCGTTGGTCTTACGATATATACTGTGCGACTCACGGAAACGACTTAGATACGCTCTGATGAAGAACTCTGCCGACCATGCCTATCTCTTGTCCACGAACACGATGCGGACCACGGCGCAGCATCTGTGCAATTGCATCCACCTCCAGCGCTTTCTTTCTGGGGTGCGTACTACAGGGACTGTGTCATGCTGATTCCATAAAACCTCCACTGGTCTGTCCTGGTTCGACGAGTCTCCATCCCTGATCCCTGTGCCCAATCTACTTACTCCGTTCCTCCATTTGTACGTCGAAGGTCGGTCCGCCACATACTGAGGGTTTCGCAGCTCTCCCTCCCAGGGTATTCTCTACGTCCGCTCCTCCGTTTGCACGTCAAGGGTCGGTCCGTGACATATATCTGCAGCTTTTCCTCCCAGGGTACAATTTATGTCCACCGGTGCGGATGCAAATAGAATTGAGGCTTGAAGCTTAACGTTCGGAGACCTGGGCTACCGCTGCTATGCAAAGTGCGTTCCGAGGAAGCTAACATTGACACGGAGCAAGTCAGCTCATGCCCTCTCGACACCATATCATAGAGCTCGATTACGCGCCCCCTCTGCTCCTGCTCCTCAGGCCGGGCTCATACGCAGGCGGCGACTCCAATTCCCCACCGTCGTCGGCGCTATGCTCTGTCTGGCGCCGCGTCGTCCTCGCGAGCAACGCCAAGACCTGCTGTCCAAGGGACCACGGAACGGTGAGTTGTACAACTTGTTCTCCCTCGCGCGTCTCGGGTGCCAGCTGGTGCGCGTCGGCGTGGTCCGCAGACGGCGAAGGGTGAGGCACGACCGCAGCGGAGGGGTTGTAGGGTGGTGGCTCCTCGGGCTCGGGGATGCCGGGCGGAGACTCCCCGACAGTATGTGAGGCTGTGGGTACTATGCGTGGTTCGCGCGAGAACTCGGCTAAGCGCTGCTTCGAGGTCTCCCTTCGCACAGCAGGTACGCCCGCGCAGTGGACCCGAGGGACGTGGTCAGGTGCGTCGCCATCCTCCGCCCGCCGGCTAGCGGCGAAGAGGGATGTCGAGCCGTCTCCATCTTCAGTCGTATCCGATGTTGTCACTGAGCGGCGGATGGTGACGAGCGGCGCGGAGGAGTGAACGGACGCTTCGGTCATCGAGGGTTCGTGTTGGGAAGGTGAGCGACTTGACCCAGGTTGTGGAGACGCGTGTGGATATCCTTGGGCGCGCATATGACGGCGGCAGCGTCGCCTGCGCGTCCACAGGTAGAGAGCCACCGCTGCACCGCCTAGGCATACCACGACGGGTACCGCGATCGCGACGACGGGTATCGACTTCTGTTGTGCCCCGCTGCCAGTCCCTGCGTCCGCGAGAGCCGTCTGGGTGGGCGACGCGCTGCTGCCGAGGGGCAAAGTGAGCGCTCCAGACGTCGCGGAGCCCGCGGCCGTTCCAGTCGTCCCGTCTGCTCTGCAGGAGGACGGACGTGTCGCCTCAGACCTTGACGCATCGCTCGGAGGGGGCACGGTGATAGAATGAGAGGACGCCCCGAGGCCGGAATCCGGCGAGGACTCCGTTGAGCTGGGACTTGTTGGTAGCGGTGCGACGGAAGGAGGAGGATAGCCGGTCGTCGCGTCCGTGCGAGCTGGGCATGTTGTTCGCAGAGGGGAGATGTTTTTTTTTTTTTTTCGGAGAGCCATACAGTCGAAGAAGACGCGAGGGTTCTGCGACGCCGTATGTTGAGAAGGGGCGCACGGAATATGCGAGCGTGATGCGGTCTGGCCTCACTCACCGATGAGATTCCGCCGGGAACGCGGGCAACGGGGACTCGGACGCACTAGGAGAGGTCGAGAGCTGACTTCAGACACCCTCGAAACTCGGCGTACTGTAAGTACAAGCTGGATGTGGACTGGCGGGGCTCAACACCGAGAAGTTGTCCGTATCTCACTTCACGGTGGATAGGATGCTGAACCACGCGTCCGCACGCAGTGCCGTGCCGCGGAAGTTCAAGCGGTGAAATGATCGAAGTGTGTACCTACTCTCCACAAGAGGCGTACGCCATGCGCTATGGTATCTACCGTCCGATCGCCGTCAGTACATCACCATCACCGGTATCGGCAGCCCCTTCTCTTCCGCCTGCGCGGAAAGCATCATCCGAGCAGTCCATAGACGAGGTGGTTGTTGCCCTATAGGTTCAAAATCGGGGAACATGGAGAATTTCTGCAGAGTTTCCAAGTGCTCGCACTGCGAACTTGCAGACGAAACATGCGGCAACTCGTCGGAGGACATGAGGCGACATATTCTCTCCATAGTGGCCGGGTCACGCATGTTTAGGTTGTCATCAAGGATTTGCACCACCTCGGGTGAGGGAAGTGGCCGCCCCTCGTCGGCCATGCAGCGCAGGAAGCCGTGGAGGTCGTATGCAGTGCGGACGAAGTGGTAGATGCCGGGCAGGGCCTCGTTGAGCAGGTTCGTGGCTGGAGATTCGCCCTGGCTGCCCGTAGCATGTGTGCCATGTTGCTGAGTCTGCTCATGCAAGAGGAACTCGTGCAGCCACTTTACGCTCGAGCAAGCGCAATTGAGGATCGAGTCGTGGGGGAAGACACGCTCATAGTAGACGAATGCATATGCATTCGTACCACGGTCGGCGTGTCTATGGCGCGTGTGATCCCAGTCAAATATGAAACCCCAGGTACCTTGCGGGCCACGAGAGTATGAAGTGTACTGGATTGGTAGGGAAACGATGGGCCGCTTGCACCATGCCGTCCCTGGCGCAGGGATACCGCAGGAGAGGCACGCGTGAAGAAGCATAGCGACGTTCATGTAGAATGGTGTGCCGTCGGCTGGCTTCGTGTGGCCCACGTTGAGGGGCCCGTAGCGCAATGTCTTGAGAAGTGAGAAGTCCCACTTTTTTCCGAGCATGTGGAGCGAGTCGCCGTAGTGAGACTCCCGCAGTGCGAGGGGGAAGACCTCGTTGAGAGTGCGGATGATTTGTTCAGGGACGAAAAATGGGAGCGAGATGCCTGGCAATGGGCCACCAGAGGCGCGAGTGATGTGCTGGAAGACAAAGGCCGCCGGACAATCCGTGGGTAGGAGACTGATGAGCTCAGGTGTCAGCAGGCTCTCCAGGCTACGGAACACGAGCGGCTGAGTGAAGAGAAGGTCTCGGAGGCGGTCGAAGTCGAGGGACGGGCAGAAACCCATGATATGCAGTCGCTTCAAAGATGGCAAGGCCGCGATGATGACTGGTATGTCGTCAGCAAGGATTCGCCGATTGTGCGAGAGAGAGAGCGCTTCGACCTCTGGAAATCCGCGCATCGTACGGATGATCTGTTGCGCTGTTAGAGGCATGAAGGCTAAGTCGACGAATGTACGCCTTTCGAGATTCTGCATGACGTGGTCAAGCATCATCAGCTGCGGGTCTCCGATGGTACGTGCGAGGCAGAGAGTCAGCCTAGAGACTTCGCTCGGGCGGAGAAGTGACTGCAGCTCGTTTTGTGCCTGTGCAATTGTCGCCTGGGCATGAGCTGACAGTGTCGTCTGGCCGGGACGAAGAGGCCATATTCCTCCTGTGCGTCGGACCATCTCGATATTCCAGTGCATGAGCTTGTCGACGAACGCCATACGGCAGTACGAGGGCACTCCTTGGTCGTCGATGGGCCACTCGGGTTCGAAGACAAACTGAAATGCTCGTTCCTCGCGTAGCATCTGATAGATGACGGACATGCGCGCAGAGCGTTGCTCGTTCGATGCTATCTCGTAAGGCGGCAAAACCGCCTTTCCGATGGCGATGTGCGGCTCGTCCTCTTGCCCAAATGCGTGTCTCAAGCTCTCCAGCTCTTGCCGCATCGCCAATCCCAGATACAGAGACGTCACAACGTCCAGAGGCATCGGCGTGTCTTCCCTCAGGGGTACCTTGAGCTGTCTTCCTGCTCGCGCCCCGACCATGTGTTTGTCGTGCGTAGGTTGATCCGGCCAGACGCCGTTGACCACCTCAGCGGGGACTAGACGGTATCCTGCGAGATCCACAAGGGCCCAGAAGACGTCGAGTAGCGTGACGTACTGGTGGTGCTTGGAAGCTGTTGCGATCATCAGCGAAGAAAATATTTTGGCCGTTGGTAGACGAGTCACCTCCGGAACCTGAAGACTCCTCTGGCTTCCACTCGCCGGAACCCTCAGGCTCGCCTATCCAGTCATCCTCCGGATCGACGGCGGGCAATTGGACATCGCAAGGCACTTCTGTGAACGAGCCGCAATACATTTTGTAGCGGATGTACTCGTATGCTGTCATGACAGGGGATTGATCATCAGGTATGAAGCAGTATGCGGGAGCATCCAGTGAGGAGAGATCAACAATTGCGATGCCTTCATCATTAAGAGATTGCCTTGCTGCCGTGCGATTTCGAGCATTAATGACTACCGTCGCACGGTATAGGCTGCTACGTACTCTTTTTCCAGCAGTCATCTCGTACATCCAGGAGGCCATTTCTGAGCGAGTGACCGCTGATATAGGACTGATTTTCGCTGAGATCAGTCGACCAGCTGATCGCCAAGAGAGATGCCAGGTATGGGCAAGGGACGGCAGGGTCTTCATTGACGGCAGGCCCCATCTTGACGAGTCCGAGCGCTTTCTGATCTACCACCCAGAGCTCGTCACGAACAACGGCTGCATTCTCTGGTTGCCGGAGGAGGGTGAGGAAGCGGTGTAAAGCACGCAGGGGGAGTGTTTCGAAGCACCACTGGTGGTGATAGGCTGCGACACACGTATGTCGACCAACTCCTGGAGAACAGCTAATGCGAGCGACCACAAAGACCTGGAAACGGTGACCCATGTCTAGTAACGCAGTGGATGCTGAGAGTAGGAGACCGGTACATCTCGCCGGCGCATGTTTCGAAACGGCGGAACAAGCTGCCAGTACGAAGATACAACGCGATTCATAATGTTACATGTGTCGGCTATGGCAAGGGGCATTTGGGACAGTGGCATCGCGCGCGCTTCCCTGCGTGAGGTCCAGGGTTCAATCGCCCGCATGTCTATTTTTCCATGGGTTGCGGGCTTCCCGTCGATGGTATCGCGCGTACGCCTTCTCACTTTTGCTGTAAACCATCGTCATCCCGTGCTTTGCTCTTTCAGCACCTCTTTGCTCAGTGACCTCTAGGTTTTTACGGTCTCGTCCAACCATCTCGATTCCTCTTCGACTTGCCGCACTGCGCGCCGACCTCATTTCCCTACCACCGACGTCGACACTTCTCGTCGTTTCCTGATCCACTTCGTGGACTCGACCATGGAGCAACAAACCGCGCCATCTATTTTGTGCGATACGCAAGCTGCGCAGGAGACCTCCATGCAGAGGGCAACGCGGTCGAAGCTGGGGCTGAAGATATTCCCCGTCGTACTGGTACCCCTACACAACCATGGCAAAGGGCCGCTGGCTCGGACGCGAGGTCCTTGAGGAGGTATTCATAGAGTTCCGCGGCCGGTCAATGAAGTTCTACGTACGTCCAGTCCCTTGATGCTGACGGATCGCGTCTCAATGTGCTATAAGCGGTCTGCATGCTCGGCTTAACGTAGGTGTCGCGCATGGCTAGTGCGCGCGTGCGGAATCATGCATACACCCTATCATATCTCCCGTATGCGGACTCGCGACTGCAGCGACGGTCGCTCGATGCTGAGAACGCTGTCGCACATCCTGCATTGAGAATCTGTCTCTTGGAAGACGCCCGGATGAGTACCTTCGCTATCCCAAAGCTACGCCCTAGAATCCGGACGATGAACAGCAAGGTGGCTTAACCGGACACCATCATCCCGAATGGCGATCATATCGAGTGCGTGGCTCTTTTCTCATGTGGACGATGTGGGGACGCTGACCAGGGACTAGGAATATCTCGCATTGACACGAGTTGCCCGTTACATCGACCCCAGTGCGCATCGTCCATCACAAATGACGAGACTTCCGGTGCAAGGGCAAGTTCCCCGAGTGCGTATGCCAGTTCATCCGAGTGTTGTCTCGTCTTATACATACCTACAGAGAAGAGAGGTTTTTTGCGAAGAGTTTCCTTTGACAAATCGACAGACAAATGCGTCTGAACATCGTCCATCCAGAGGGAAAGGTGCGACGCTTCTCATATGCATTTGCTAGCTCTGCTCCTGACTCCCTCCTCAGCACGCCAAGACCGTGTTCAAGCGGATACGATATGACAAGAACTTCACGGGTATCAGTCCTGTTAGATGTTCTGCGTTCTGACTTCGTGGCTTGTTTCGCCCTATCAGCTCATCAAATCCATGGGCGCCTCTCACCAACTTCTCGCCACGGTCCCGTCCTTTTCTCCAACCCATGCGACATGCTGCAGTCCCAAAATCGACCTCTACCTCTAGCATTCGGTCAGTCCTGCTTGCATCTGGCGACGTTTCGGCACTCTGTACTCTTGGCTTAGCTTCTTGTACTGCTCGGCTCGTCGGTCTCCCAATACGTGTTGTGCGACTCACGGACACGAGTTGGATACGCTCTGATGAAGTTCGCTGCCGACCATGACTGTCTCTTCTCCGCGAACACAACCACGGCGCAGCATCCGTGTAGTCGCACCCACCTCCAGCGCTATCTTCATAGGGTGCATACGACATCATCGCCTGTCTTCCTGTCTTGGCCTGAATCATGCAGTACCTGCTGGTCAACGCTGGATCGACGAGTCTCCACGCTTGCGCTTAACTGCCTTACTTGGCCACTCTGTTTGTACTTCAAGGTTCTACGTCCACCGATGCGGACGCAAACAGAACATAGATTTGAAGCTTAAGGCTCTCAGGTGCGCTGCGCTGTCATGCAAGCACGGTCCCGAGGATACTATCATTGGCACGGGGCAGCTCAGCTCACGTCGTCTCGACGCCATCCACCAAGTCGACTATGCACCCCCTCTACTCCTGCTCCTCAGGCCGGGCTCATACGCAGGCGGCGACTCAAATTCCCCACCGTCTTCGGCGCTATGCCCTGTTTGGCGCCGTGTCGTCCTCGCGAGCATCGCTAACACCTGCTGTCCGAGGGACCACGGGACGGTGAGTTGTACGACTTGTTCTCCCTCGAGTGTTTCCAGTGCCGGCTGATGCGCATCAGCGGCGTTCGCAGCCGGCGAAGGGTGAGGCGCTACCGCAGCGGAGGGGTTGTACGGTGGTGGTTCCTCACGCTCAGGCTGGGGGATGCCTGGCGGAGAGTCCCCTGGAGCATCCGAGGCTGCGGGTACTGTGCGTGGTTCGCGCGAGAACTCGTCTTCGCGCTGCTTCGAGGTCTCCCCTCGCACAGCAGGTACGTCCGTGCAGTGGACCCGGCGGACGTGGTCAGGTGCGTCGCCGTCCTCCGCCCGCCGGCTAGCGGCGAAGAGTGATGTCGAGCCGTCTCCGTCTTCAGGCGTATCCGATGTCGCCACTGAGCGACGGGCGGCGACGAGCGGCGCGGAGGGGTGAACGGATGCCTCGGTCATCAAAGCGTCGTGGTGGGAAGGTGAGCGACTTGACCCAGGCTGTGGAGACGTGTGTGGATACCTCTGGGCGCGCATGTGACGGCGGCGGCGTCGCCTGCGCGTCCACAGGTAGAGAGCCGCCGCTGCACCGCCTAGGCATACCACGACGGGAACCACGACGGCGACGACGGGTATCGACTTGTGCTGTGCGCCGCTGCCAGTTCCTGCGCCCGCGAGAGCCGTCTGGGTGGGCGACGCGCTGCTGCCGAGGGGCAAAGTGAGCACGCCAGACGTCGCGGAGCCGGTGGGTGTTCTAGTCGTCCCGTCCGCTTCGCGGGAGAACGAGCTCATGGCCGCAGACGTGGACGCAGTGCCCGGGGGGGAGACAGTAGTCGAAAGGGAGACAGTAGTCGAATGAGAGGACATTCCCGGGAAGGAACGGCTCGACAGCACGCCGGTGTCTACTGCGGTGGGCGGAATGCCGGGGCCTGACCAGCCGCTCCACCATCCTGGGCCCCAACCAGAGGGGCAGGATATGCCGGTACCTGGGTGGCAAATCGGAATGGGGGGAGTGCCAGTGAACCGGCCGAGGAGCCGAGGCGGAGTGGCGGTAGCATCAGGCGGGGATTCCGTCGAGAGCAAGTGGGTTGGTGCGGGTGTGGTGGGAGAAGGATAGCCGGCCGTTGCGTCCGGCCGAGCTGAGCGTGTTGTGGGCAGAGAAGAGATGCCTTGTCGGAGAGCCATACAGACAGAGAAGACGCGAGTCTTCTGCGAGGCCGTATGTCAGAGATGCGATGGGTCGACGGTATGTGCGAGCGCGATGCGGTCTACACCCTACTCACTGATATGGAGCAGGTCCCGGTGGGAACGCGGGCGACAGGGACGCGGAGGCACCAACAGAGGTCGAGAGCTGAGCTGATCGTGAAGAGGCTGCATATATAGAATGGCAGAGTTCTGCGGCCTTCGAGGCATCGTGCACCTGTCAGGAGACTTGACTGATCGAGTGCTGCTGTCCTCCCTTTCCGCTCCGCTCCTCATCGTTGATCTCACGGGGTGTCGTGAACGTGATGGAACGATGCATCGCGAATCTGCCGTACTGCACTGGAGCTGTTCGTCGCATCTGCTCGCGAGCTACTCCAGTGCGGCGCACTCCAACGGTGCAGGCGGACAACACACCCCGATGCACTGCAGAGGTCTTCAACATGAGAAGGAGAACGGAAGCAGTCAAAACACGATCAATCTGTCAAAGTGCGTCCGCACTGATTGGCTTCGAGTTAATCATCGGGCTTAGCACGGCAGATGAAATTGACCATTGCAACGGGATCCCGCGAGGAGCACAAGCCGACGCTCGTTGAACGGACGTTCTATGTTCAAGGGTGCTCATGCGTTCCGCGACCGTCCTCGAGTGGGCCGTGCACAGTATATGCATCTGCCATATCGCGAGCGTCTCCTGCGTCCATGATGTCCATCGCATTGCCTTACTGTCTGCTGCCGCGGATATGCCGTTTCGCTGTAGTATGTACAGCACAGAACGGTGTGGGTGACTTGGGGCGTGTCGAAACTGTCTATCAGAACTCATACGATCGTGTCTTGCTGGCTTCCTGGCGGTTCCGCAAGCTGTACACAGGGATGTTCCTCCGCGGGAGCTCTGGGAACGGAACTATACTCTCTCAGCGCTCAGCTGTGGAACACCGAGATGCCACCTTCTCACTGTTTGCAAGGCTGTCGAGACGTAGGCACCTCATCTAAACATCTGCCTCACGCGTCACTGCCGCAGAATGAACGCTATAGCCCGCTTGTGCCCGAAAGTGCCACACAGGTATCACGTAGTGACTTACCACACACAGCAGCTTCGTCGCCATTTCAGAATGGAGGACGCTGTGCCACGAAGCTTTGAGGCTGTGTGTTCTCGATGCGGCAGCAGCGCGCGGTATTTGTTGACTGGGAACCCCAGCGATGCATGTGCCATTGTGTCCGGAGCGGCCCGTCAGACCTCCAAGTTGGCGTCTTCACACCAGCAGCCACACACTGCACTCGACATATATACTCTTCGGGGCCATCGCGTGGCTAATGAATGCGAGTCCTTCCGGTTTTTCACCTGCGTGACACTCACTAACTCGTCAGGGATGCATCGAATCTGGCCTCTACTATGTTCACGCGGCCGTGTCGTGAGCTCTCTGGTGGAAAATCTTCCTTCCAGATTCCTGAGGCAGGTTGCACCGCGCAGCTGAACCCTCTCCTCTAGACGTCTCGAGGAGATGGGGGAGCACGGGGGAGTGGTGACCTGCTGCGATCGCTCACTCCGCATGTTATCCATGCTCGCACGCCTGCGCCATCCGTCGGCTTGCTCCACGTCGCGTCTATAAACAACCTCCGTGCACCCTCCTTGCCACTCTCTGACAACAGGACGTCGACAAAGGGCGTTCTGACGTCTTCCCTGGCACTTAGTACTTCTTCTACGTTGAAGAGGCTGGAGTCTGCTGGTACCGCTTGGCTTTGGCTCCTGCTTCTCGATGCTCACCTCGTTCACAAAGCCTACTCTTGTTCTTTGGAGAGTACGTGTGCTACACACAGACTGCGATGCCGAA